CCCTTAGCAACCAGTGTCCCTGGGTGAAAAAGTGATGGTAAATATGAGGGGGTTTAATCATTCCTTACTCTACCCATAAATATCAAAAACCACTTGCCAACGTTATGATTTACTGATTTTCTAAAATAATTATTTAATTTTGGGGGGGGAAAAAACAAGAGTCCAGTACTGTCTGCCCACTTATTGGTTATTGGGAGAGGGGTGTGTCCCTCCTCTGAGTCATACAAATAGGGGGGTGTTGTGGGTGAGTCATGTGATCTGATATTCAGGAAGCTTTCAGAAATGCTGATAGATTGCCTCAAGCTTACTAGCTGCAAAAAGTAACTACAAACATAATAGAATATAAATGGTAAATATAAAGGAACACATATTGTTAAATTTGACAGTACTGTAAACTGCCCTAAATGTCTCGTTCCCCATTTATACACTTTTTACATCACAATCTAAAGCCTATCACTTGTTTGTATATATATTTAGGTTACATTGCATGTAAAGATACCCCCAAAAAACAACTAACTTTCTTGTTTTATGCAATAAAAGGTTCCGTTTCTAAATTTAAGGGAACCTTGTGATAAGAGGAAGCGACCTCTCCTGAAAATTGTTCCATTTCCATACTAATCCAATTGTTTTCAATACTTTCCACGCTCCACACCGTTAAGTGTGGATGGAGGAATGTTTTAGGTTTTTTCTGTTCAGCCCAAAAGCCGAATGAGTGGTAATTCCAATTAGGGCTGCAACAACTAATCGACATAATCGATTATTGAAAAAGTTGTCAACTTTTTCAATAATCGATTAATCGGCTTCCGATTGGTTGGCCCTGTTCACGGCTCCACACACGCTGCACGCCACACCTCCTCCCCACCTCACGCTCGCCGCTGCCAGGCCCGCCCACATCCACACCTCCTCCCGCCTCACGCTCAGTGCTCGCCCAAATCCACGATCGGCACAGGTGCGCGGGGAGAAGAAGTAAGGAGGAGCAGGCGTGAGGGAATGACAATAGGCCCGATCTCAGAAACAAGTTGCTGGAAGACTGCTCAGGTAAGCCTGCACTTTCCCACACATGGTGCTCTATAATGTATTGCTGGGATTTGTATTACTCTATACCTGATGGTACATTGTGATGTTTATTAGATCAGCTATAGAGGAATACAAATCCCAGCAATACATTGTACACTGTATGTATAATGTATTGCTGGGATTTGTTGTATTCCTTTGTAGCTGGTGGTATTCTGCATTGCGCTGTATGGAGGACTACAAATCAAGGAATAATATATTATACAGCGCAATGCGGAATACCACCAGCTATAGACGAGTACAACAAATCCCAGCAATAATACATTATACAGCGCAATGCAGAATACCACTAGCTATAGAGGACTACAACACCCAGCAATAGTACATTATACAGCACAATGCAGAATACTACCAGCTATAATGTACTATTGCTGGGATTTGTTGTACTCCTCTATAGCTGGTGGTATTCTGCATTGTGCTGTATAATGTACTATTGCTTGGTTTTGTAGTCCTTAAAAAGCGGTGCCATTCTACATTAATTGCTGTATAATTTTACACCTTTTCATTTCACTATATTGCACACCACACTTGTTTTTTCCTTTTCTTTACTTCCACCGCTCCAAGCTTGCTCCTGTGATGGACTACAATCTCAATACAAACTAGTAGTCCATCACTGGAGCCATTTTTTTAAATGTATTTAATTTTTTTATCCGATTAATCGAACTTAATAATCGTCCAACTAATCGATTTTGAAAATAATCGTTAGCTGCAGCTCTAATTCCAATATAAAATTCTCATCAAGTGTCTGTGCCTGAAAAGAGAGACTGTGAAAGCCCATTCACACTATAGCATTGCGCTTAACACATGGAATTTGTTGAGTTATCGCACAGTGCATGGTACTACATGCACGGTGTAAAGGAGAATTGTGATTAATTCTACATGGGATCCCAACACACCTCCTGGCGGGTGTGCGTTGCCGTACAACAGGTGGAATCACGATAAAGTGTGTTGTAGTGCGGTGAAAAAAGTAGTGCATACAGCAGAAGCACTGAAGTCCTACTTCTCAAACAGTTCAGCTCTCCCTGCTCTCCCCTCCCAGAGCACAGATCAGTGTTTGCATTCAAGATTTAAAGCCTGAAGAATTCCAAGTCATTAATGGGAGCTGAGTCACTACTGGGAGGGGGGAAGCAGAGAGAGCTGAGCTGCTGAAAGAACAGCTTGAAAAACTTCAGTGCTTCTGTTGTAAACTATGTTGCCTTGTTAGGGAGAATTATTCTTACATCCTGTCTTGCTGAAAATGTTGTAACTGACACCGAGATAAAAGGAACTCTTTCTAACACTGATACAACAGCAATATGTTTTAGAGGGGGGAGACCAGACCCTCACTTAGCTTTTAATTGCTGTTTGCATTTTGGATAAAAATTGCTAATCACTTCCTGTCCCTATGACAATGTTGTCATCAGGACAGGAAGTGAGTGAAAATGTCACCAAAACAACAACAAAAAAATCGAACAAAGATCCTAAACCTTCACCACTCTAAAACAAGGGTGAAGTTATTAGCATTGCGTTATATTTTAACTATAGGAGAAAATGGTTTTTTTTTAAGCTGACCCAATGACTTTCATACAGAAAACACAATCATTCCAACTGTAAGCACATTCACTTTTTACCAGGTGCCATTGAATGTAAACATTTTCCTTACTGGCACTGGACTAAATTGTAGGGACTGTAAAGGAAAAGAGGCTACAGTGTGTTACATAGCCCATAATTTGTCCTATAGCAGTGTGCTCCAACAGAGAGCCAAGCTTAGAACACATACATTTCCACATGTGGTTTTGCTTTGTACAAATCTGCAGCAAAGGGAAAAGCTTATAAGCTTCCAAGCTTGACTTGGAAAATTGATGGGAAAATTAAACTGACGAAAATAGCAGGTGCCTAAATAAACCACTGCTCTAGTTCAGAAGCCCTAAAATATTGTCCTTTGAGTCTTTAATACCAACAGCCCAAGAATACAGATGGTAGAGAAAGTAGAATGTAGATTTAGAAAACGTATCATTCAAGCAAATGCAGCAGTGTTTAATGTAGTCCTTTTATAATGCCATTTTCAAATGAATATATACCCGTGCCTTTTTTGTTTGTTATGGTATTAAAATGGACTCAAAAAAGTGAAGATTTGAAAGGGAAAATTAAGAAATGTTAACTGTGCTTAAACAGTACCCTGAGAAATGTACCTTTTGTCTGAGATCCCTCCTGAAAAATAGCAGTGTACTTCCTGGTGATGTGAGTGTGCCTAGGGCCCTATGCATTCCTGTGTCTACAGCCCCATAGCTCTATATCTACAGAGTGAGATCTAAGGCCCTGCTGCCTTTAAATGCTGGTCTCACCTGTTATAAAACCTGTTATTCCTACTGAAGTGACTAATTACGCTGCTCCTGGCTGGGGTGAGATCCTATTCATGAGCCCTGCAAAACATGACACCTGCATGACCTCCTTCACAGCAGGAGTGCAGACTGTGCACGGGCAGGCTTCACTTTCTGATTGACAGCCGTCAACAATCACAAAGAAGGTCTACACTGGTCATAAAATAGATTGTTCACCGCACATTCAACTTATAGGGTCCAAAGGTTACATATATACAGCACTGGCTGGGTCACCTTTAGCCTCGAATGGGCTCCTCAAAAATGACGTGATTTAAAAAAACAAAACTCAACTTTGAGCTCTCAGACTACTCAGTGAAGCAGATATTTGATACCTACGTGTGAACAAACCACTGTTCTTTAACCCTATGTAGGCTTGCAGTCTTGGGTGATACAACCAATCACGTCATAATTAGCAAGCTTACATGAGAAGTCAGACAGAAACAGATATTGACCAAAATTATTGGGCAATATCCTGTTGTTCTTTAAATAATTGCAGTGATACACTCCAGTTTCACTCGTCTCTGCCTGTCACTACCACTCACAGCATGTTAACATGCACGACTATGTGAAGGCTAAATGGTCAGATGTGGACCGATGCTGCTGAAAATGCATGCTGCCTGGCTGTCATGCCAATTCATTTGCTTCAATACTTCCCAAATACCGACCTAAAAGAAAGCAGAGATCTCAGGAATTCTGTCTTCACATATTCCATACTTCTTTCAGGTCAGAGGAACATGTTGCGCCCCATCACCCTACCTAAGCACTACAAGTCTTTACTTACTATGGTCCTCAAAATGACTTTCCCCTTTAGAGGGTTCAGCTTAAAGTGACATTAAACTCAGGAGTTAAATCTTAAAAATACATTCAAGTACCTTAACTATTAAGAAAATGTTTATTTTATTTGTGTATCACTCGGCTGTAGATCCTTAAATCATCTGTGAATTAGTGCTGAGACTGTCCTTACTTCTGGAGGGTGGCTACTTTTGTTCCCCATGGTCCCTGTGTGTGTTGTAAAGTAGTCACCACTCCATGCTCACTCCTGTAATGGACTACAATCTCAATACAAATTAGTAAACTAAACGTGGGATTGTAGTCCATCACAGGAGTGAGCTTGGAGCGGTGACTACTTTACAACACACACAGGGACTATGGGGAACAAAAGTAGTCACCCTCCAGAAGGAAGAACAGCGTCAGCATTAATTCACAGATATTTGAGGAGCTACAGCCAAGTGATACACAAATAAGGTACATTTGTTGTTAATAGTTGGGGTACTTGAATGCACTTTTAAGGTTTTAGCTTCTATGAATTCCCACTTCTGTTTATTCAATTAAATACGCCAGAAAATAATTAAAACAAAATCTGATGGCAATAAAATTATAATGAGTAATGTACTGTATGTAAAACTGCAAAAAGTCCATTCTACAGCCTGAAAACTTACCGGAGCATTTGAAAGCTCACACAGAGCCTGTGTTCCTGCAGCAGCTGATAGCTTCGAGTGTGCGAGGAGCCTTCTGTGCACCAGCTGCTCATTCACAAGTAGTAAAGAACGCAAGGTTTCCCCTTACCTTAAAGAAGCTCTCCCCTGGCCAACACACTTCCATTGTCATCTGGGCAGTCTTGTTCTGGACGGATCCTCTGTTTTCCCAGTTCTGAGAGGAAAGACATGTTAATGGTTAGTGTAGTCTGTAGGAAATTCCTCTGAAAGCCACAGAATCAGTCACAACACACACCCTGCCAAGATCTTTTCCGTCAACAGTGCCCGGCTATTTCTTCCCTAGTCCAGCCTCCTCTATCCCATCGCATGCCTGCTTAATAGGCACGGAAGGGGGGCTAAGCACCCCCTTCCATAGAAATGAGTGGTCAGTGACTGGCGTGAGAAGAAGACTGTTTACTTCAAGTGTGTCCCTGCAGACAGAACGAGAGAGCAACTGTTGTGTGCAAGTGTCCTCGTCACATGGGAGAACTAAAACTGAGGGCACGGACAGCAATGGACGAGTTAATTCATGCTGCACAGATGGAATAACACCAAGGCAAAACCCATTCCCCGGCACTTTCCGACCTGCCAGGTGGATCTGCTACTGATTGTACAGAAAGTCTTTCAGTTAACTATTAACTCTTAACATATGGACTTGAGAGGCCACTATAATGGGAAAACTTTCCCCTTCAAACAAAATGACATCATTACCGTCTAAATGTAAGTTCAGCAGGAACCTCTGATGTATTCTATAGCAAATTCTATAGACCTTATGGGGCGATTCAGTAAAGGCTCTGCCATCCAATTATGGTGTTATGGATGTATCTAGAACTCCTGTACCAAATTCATAAAAGGTTTGCTATAGATCTATAGGAGAACACGGACAAGTGCGGCAAATTCACAAAGTTCTTATTTGCAACACTTTTCTGGTATGTCACTAAAGCTGGGACAAATGCATTACCAAATGCTTCCATGTCAAAGTTAAAAAATCTGGAGGTAATTAAGACCAATGTAATTTTGGAGAACGCTACCCCCACCCCTGTCACTGGTTGCTAGGACACTGTCAACCCACTTGGTCGTTGGTTGCTAGGACGCTGTCAGCCAATAGTGTCACTGACTGCTAGGATGCCGTTAGGCCACATCATCATTTGGTTGCTAGGATGCTGTTAGCCCACAGCATCACTGGTTGCTAGGATGCTGTTAGCCCACAGCATCACTGGTTGCTAGGATGCTTTTAGCCCACAGCATCACTAGTTGCTAGGATGCTGTTAGCCCACAGGATCACGGGTTGCTAGGACGTTGTCAGCCAATAGTGTAACTGGTTGCTAGGATGCTGTTAGCTCACAGCATCACTGGTTGCTAGCATGTTGTTAGCTCAAAGCATCACTAGCTGCTAGGATGCTTTCAGCTGCACAGATGGGAGAATTTAAAAAAACAAAAACTAGAGCAGACAGAATATGCAGAAGTCCCGCATAGTAACCAATCAATTTCTCTTTTCAGTTTGTTCAGTTAAGCTTTGAAAATGAAAGAGGGACACTGATTGGGTGCCATAGGCAACTGCTCCAGATTCTGTCTGCTCCAATTTTCATAGATTCTCCTCGTTGTCCTTTGTTGCTATGACGCTGTCGGCTGCACAATGTCCTTGGTTGCTAGGATGCTGTTGGCTGAACAGCACCATAACAACCAATGGTGCTGTGTAGCCGACCGTGTCCTAACAACCAAGTACATTGTGCAGCCTGGGAGCTGTACATGCACTAAGGACAGTAGTATGGACCTCAAACTCAGCCCTGCACCCCCATCATGCTTCTATGTGACAAATTCATGTACCGGTTTCCGATCGGTACATGAATTTGTTGCAGACACTGACGTTTATTGTGCAGAGACGCACCACAAGTCTAATTCTCTTTGAGTTCTAGGGTATGTCTGCTAGTGAGATCATACTCTACTGATACAGTCAGTTCATCTTACTGTTCGTGAGATTGGAGAGGGAACTACAAATGCAGACCCATAAGAGAAAGTTCACCTGCTCTGGTCATTTACAGTCAGATAGCAACATATCTGCATGTCTGAGTGTAGACCATTCCTGATCATTGAAGACATCCTGCCCAACCTTTCCAAATTGATCAAAGCGGTTGAATTTTACACAGCCAATCACATTGTTTTTACTGCGGATACATGCAGTTACCAACTAATGCTAAATGCTGTTTCTCCCACCTCACAAACACAAGAATGCATGTTCGCCCAGTGCAAACATGCATTCTTGTGCCATGATCTTTTATTAGCAAGATCGCTTAATGGCCAGACCCTGTATGATAAGCTGACAAATTGTCAATCTCTACATAGTGTTAGGGTGCCCACAAACCCCCAATAGCATAAAGTAATTTGTCGATGCTGTCACTAGTGGTGACTAGATCCATCTCCCATCTAGTTGAGAGCATGGACAGGTGGAAGTGGAAAGCACATGCATTTTCCTTGTAGGAGCAGGCATTGATCATTACAATGGGAACAAGCAATCAAGTAATGCACTGCATTCATGTGTTTATCCTTTAGGATGAGCTAGATGAATATATTGCTACAGGTGTCAGTGACAGGGCGATGAAGTTGAGGACATGTCTATGGCAAGCTAAGGATCTCTAACCTAAAACATCTTCTTAGCTTATTTGTGTCAAGGTAAATGGAATTCATCTGCTACACACATTTTTCACTATTTATAGCGCAAAGAAATCTCTAGGGTTGTATCTGCCTAATACTTCTCAGTTCCTCCACATTGACGGTTTATAAAACACTAAGGAACATACTAATAAATCAGTGAAGGTGACACCAAATATTTGCTGCAGGTGAATCTTCCTGGTCAACATGTTTTACTTTAAGGTGAATGATTCACCACCATTTAATGTTTTTCACAATGTCACATTCACTGCTTTATGTGTATTAGCAATAATGCAATAGCACGCCAACCAATGATAATTCATTTGTCTGCTCTCACATCCAATACACAAGGATATGTTCTAAAAAAAATGGACTATGGGATTATTCACACGATGTCCGGATTCTGTCCAGACCAGGACAGTAAGCTCCTGCACTAAAAACGCATCACAATGTATCCCTTTTTTTTTTCTGGGCTCCAGTTCACACCAGCGCAGTGCTTTCCGTCCCGGACAGAAAAAATACTGCATGTCACATTTTTTTCTGGTCCGGAACACACTGGAACGCGCAGAAACGAATACGAACGTGTCAAAAAAAACGAAAAAAGAAAGTGCACTGGAAACGCACCGCATTTCAGCTAACTGGAAAAAAAATAAAGTGTATTCTTGCTCCACATACACAAAAGGGAAGTACTTGTAAGGAGAGGCCGGAAGTGACCTCAGAGCAAGAATCTGCATACTGACAGCCTCCCCCCCAAAAAAACTGGAACATGTCTGGAACGCGGTAAAAACGCATAAAAAATGCGCTGCATGCATTGCACCGCGTCTGCAGATCTGCTCCAGATCTGGACCAGAAAATGGTGTGAACAAGCCCTAAGGATGGCCATAGAGGGGCAGATCTGGTCCATTCTCTCAGAAAAAGGGAACCCACCTGAGTTGGTTACATTTATCTCTGCTTAGGGATGGAATCAAAATATGGTGCATGTCCAGAGATCAGGTCAGCCTACTTAGCCTCAGCAGTCCTCAGGGTTCAGGGATTTCCTTCATATGGATGAACCTCATGACAATTACAAACTCTCTTTACAGCAAAAACCAAACTGATACTTTTTCTTATGTAAGACATACACAGGCGGATCACATATCAATAAAGATAAAAACGCTAGTCCTACGACCCAACGATCTCATGGATTCTTTCCTTTCCATTTCCTTTTTATATTGGTAAAACATAACAGTCATTCATTGACTTCAGAGCTTTTCCAACAATCACTAAAAACATCTGCAGATGATTATGAGCACTTTTAATACTTGCTGGTAATTATCACAAATGAATAAAACAAACATAGTTAATCGCTGGTGAAAACTGACCATCATGTGGGTTATATTAAAATAGGAGCTGCCATTGATTCCTATAATCTTTATCCTTCCTTCACCATGTTGGCAATCACTGACCTGAATAAGTATGTACAGAACAGATGACTTCACAGTTTGGATGCGCAATGCGAAGGTTACATCAGCAGAGCATTGCTGGGAAATCTCATCTGTAATCTCATGAGATCTCAGGTAGGGAAGCACCGATACGGGTTATTCGGTATCGAAGACCAATATTTCTTTTTCTTTACTCGCCGATACCGGAAGTCCCATTAAGGAAGCCAGGCGGTGTGTAATGACTCGCCACCCGGCTTCCCAATTAGCAGGGAAGCCGTCTCCATGCTCTCTCGTCACCAGGGGACGAGGGAGCATTGAGCCGGCTTTCTGGCCAATCAGGAACCTGGGAGCGGGTCAAGACTTGCTGCCTGGCTTCCTGATACCGCAAGTTCGGGTATCGGGCTAGGCATCGGAGCATTTGGACAAGTACTCGTCCAAATACTTGGTATCGGTGTATTCCTAATCTCAGGGAAAGGTATTTCCTCCCCTGAGTGGATGTGCATGGTGACATGTCCTACTCACATGTCCCAGAGTTCCAGGAAGTAATAGGAGATCAAGTAATCTGCCCTTAGTAAACATGGCCACTGTCAGAAGACTGGGAAAGAAAAGATAAATAAGATATGCAAAGAATACAAAGCCTGCAATTGTCTAGAAGTATGTGCTTGTAGATTGTTATTACTACACATTTCTAAAGGTGTGCGTGTTGTTATTTTGAAGATATGGGTAAAGTTGCTCTTTAATATGTTTCTGAGGGAAAGTGGAAAATCCCTCTAAGAGCCTATTCATTCATCATAATGTCCTTTTCAGAGTATTCATGTTTGTAAAACCCAAACTGCCATTCCCTGTCAGCAATGAGGTCGTTCATACAACAGCAGCTTTATAGCTGTGCGTTTCATAACTTCTGATTGCATTAGGTGCAATGATAGGCATCTCCTAAGAACTTTTGTTTACAACATAGAAACCACATTTGAATAAGGTGGATGCCAGAGGTCATTTGATCTACCCTGCCTAGGAGCTAGTGAGTGGCTGATTTTTTTTTTTTTTATGAATGGCAAGCACGAAGTAATAGTTTTATTGGGCTAACACTTTATTGGGGCTTTAGCTAGGTACCAATAAGGTACCTCTACTGAGGAGCACCCCAACAGTGGCTGATGTGTCTTTCCTGAAACATGTTCCTTACATGCAGCCTTTGATGGTGATGTCACCGCTGAAGTTCTGATGAAACTGATA